CGGTTTCGCGTTCGTGCTGTGCGCGCAGGCGCGGCGACATATCACGATCGCCATGCATCGTGTCCATCACATTCGCCATCACGCATCGTCACCAGCATCGTCATCACGGTCGTCATGAGCTCGCTGTCATCACCTGGTTTCCCTCCACAACCTCCTTATTGCCCGAAGGGTGGTCGTGTAGGGTTCCACTACTCCTTGGGGGCCGCAGGACATCGGTTCTCCAGGCGGCGGATTCGGTTACATCCCCTCCTCGTGCGACTGCCTCCTTCGTCAGCTGCCAGAAGCGTTCGTTGGACAAGCTTGGCTTTGCTGGACGGCCTGAGGTTCCCCCAGCCCGACCCGGGGCCCCCCAGCTCGACCTGAAGAGTCCCAGCAACCGTCGAAATCCTCCCCCCTGCACCAGACCCTTCCCGCCGCCCCCGACTCCATCCCTTGGCTCGAGGGGCGTCCTCCCGCGCCGCCGGTGGCCGTCCGGCAGCGGGCACCGCCCGGCCGCCCGACCACCTTGCCGCCCCTCCGGGCGGCCCGTGGCGAGGCAGCCGCTGCAGGCAAGCGCCGCGGGCCCGTGCAGCCGCCTTCCCTGGAGGGAAACTGGTCGGTTGACAAACTCCCGCACTTTTTTTGTGCTGATGTTTTGTGACCCCCCCCCCCTCGCCCACGATTTGATGTTGGCGGTTGCACCGCGATGGGTGGATCCCGCTGGCGATGCCAACCATCATTGACTCGGGGGCAGGAAGTTTGCGACGGCACCCCCAGTCGCGCGGGTGGTGCAGGGTTTCGTCCATCAGCCGAAACACGACTCAGAAGAGGAAACTATAGGGGGCACGAGCATGACCACGACTCTACGCTCGCAACCGCCACCGCGCGCAGGACATTTTTCGGGGCTGGTGCGCCAGAGAGAGGTGTTCAACGAAATATGTGCACTGTGTTTCCGGCGATGCCCCACACACCGTGGTGCATACGCGTGCAGCTCCCAAACGGTACCGACACGCCTCCCTCGTCGCCACGGCTGGCGTCGACTTGAAGTTCTCGTCGGAGAGCGCCCTTTGACAGTGTCTGGGGGGAGCCCTCGCCGCCACGGCTGCATGCTCCTCGAAGTCCTGGCCAGGGTGCGCCCCAGGAGAGGTCCGAGGAGCAGCGGCGCGGGTGCCTCTCTGTCCTCCGACGCGCCACCGCCCGCTCCCTCGAGGGAGGCAGCCCGATGGCCACGGCCCCGGGCATGCTCCCGCCGAGAAGCAACAAGCGCGACGTGTGTTTTTTTTCTCGCATGGCCCCAGGCAAGCTCGCGTCAAATAAGAAATACGCGGCTGGTGTTTTCTAGTTTGCGGCCTCTGGGGGCCCTCGCTGGGCCCCGGCCCGGGACCGTCAAGAACCGACACGGGATGAGAAGATGGCCCTGGGAGAATGGTGGGTGGGGACTTCCATTGGCCCCTGATTGACAAAAACAGTGCGTCTGTCGGACGTCTGGGGCCGCGGGCCAAAGCGACCGCACTCCTCTCAAGGGGAGAAGCTCAAAGGCCATGGCCAAGGTGTCCCAGGATCTTGTCGGCGCTGGCCTTGTGCATGGTCTGTTGTGGTTCTTATTCCCATTTGAGCCTCTCCACCTCCTCCTGCGCCTCGCTCTCACCTTCCTTGCCCCGCGGCCGTCTCGGATCGAAGGGCCTTTGAGCTGTGTGGCGCGCCGGCAGCGGGCGCGCTGCCGTCGTTTTGAGTATCGCCTTCGGTGGATCTCCTTGGGGAGCGACGAAGCGCGTGAAGGGTGTGCCCAAACGGAGCGGGACCGCCATGCGGATGCTGCCACTGGGGCTTTCGGTATACACGGGGCGTGTCTGGGGGTGCCGAAATGGGGCGGGGCCGCCCATGCGGGCGCTGCCACTGGGGCCTTAGGTGGGGCTCCCCATGGGGCCACGAAGCGTGTGAGGGGTGCGCCAGAGTGGGGTGGCTGCGGAATGCGGGCGCAACCGCTGGGGCCGCAGGTGGAGCTCCCTATGGGGTCACGAAGCGTGTGCGGGGTGCGCCAAAGTGGGGTGGCGGCGGCGGTCTTAGGTCTGCAGCGATGGTTCCAACCGCTTGTCGGCTGACCGCAGACCGTCCTTGTGCCCAGTGATAATCGCGTTTTGTTTTCTCCGCCATCTCGTCGCTCGTGCAGTGCGCGGGCGTGACATTCTCCTCCACGCCGGCCGAGCTGACACTTGTTCTCAACCATCCTGTGGTGTTGGGTCCTCATTTTGAAAAAACTGCGCCCCGTGTCTCCTCGTCTCTTCTTTCCCTTCCCCTCCTACCTCCTCCTGTCCTTGCCTCTGCCCTCCGCATGTAGGGCGCTCCACCAAAGACCCCAGCGGCAGGGTTCGCATGGCTACCTCGGGCCATGTCGGCGCACCCCTCATGAGGATCGCGGCCCCGCAGGGAGCTTCACCAGAGGCCCGGGCCCCAGTGGCAGGTTCGCATGGCGGCCTCGGGCTATTTTTGCACGCCCTCACACGCTTCGTGGTTCCATTGGGAGCTCTGGACGAAGGCCCCAGTGCGTGCGTCCCCCGCTCATTAGGCAAACTTTACGCACGTCTCGGGGCTCCCATCCGCATGGCCCCGTGTTCCATCCATCTCGCGGCGCTCGGTTTACGACGCGAGGGGCATATTTTAAGACATTCGCAGGTGATATGGTTGAGTCCTTCGCCAGGCGACTTTCGGCATTGAGTGGGCTTGGTGTCCTCTTTCCTCTTGTTCCGACGCATGCATGGCCAAGGTGATTCATTCGGGGCCAGCTTGAGTTTCCTGCGATGCTCTACTGATGCTCTCCTTCCCTACGTCGCTGTTCGTCCACCTCTCCATTGTTCACGCTGTCACCGTCATGTTGTATCTTATATGCGTACTTAGTACCCGTCGGCATTTTTCGGTAGGACTAAATAGTCTGCCAGTTGCAGCGCTGCCATTCTGCTGACAGGCCCCCAGCTTCATCAGCCTCGCAATCCCAAAGTCCTTCGCTCCCTCTTCTATCCCTTCCCACTCTGTGAAAGGTTTCCCGAGGTCGCCAGAGATCCCAGAGGTCCTCAGAGGCCTCCGGAGGTTCGACCAGGAGGCCAGAAACGGTCGAATGGATCCTCGAGTCCAGGTTCGCTTCGTCCTCCAGTCCCCTCTTCGAGTCCTCCTCCAGCCCTCCCTCCTGAGATCGGTCCACTTGGTAGGGAGCTCTACGGCGTCGGATTGAAAAATCACATTGTCGTTGTCGTCGTCGTCGTGGTCGTCGTTGTCGTCGTGGCGGTGGTCGTGGTCGTGGTTGTGGGCGTCGTCGTCGTGGTGGTGGTCGTGGTCGTGGTCTTCGTCGTCGTCGACGTCGTCGTTGTCGTCGTCGGCGGCGGCGGCGTCGGCGTCGTCGCCGTCTGCGTCATCGTCGTCGTCGTAGCGATGGGCATCGGCAAGGCGCTGGCCAAAGGTGCGGCGAGGAGACATCTATGGAAAAGGTGGTGGCTCGAGCTTGGCGGCCAGGACGAGGTCCATGTAACAAAGGTCAAAGCCCACAGGCCGATGTCGGAGTGCGTGACCGAGACGGAGGGGTGGGCACGCGTGGGCAACGAGGAGGCAGACACCAGAGCCAAGAAAGGAGCAAGCTTGTGGGGCCACTTGCCACAGAGGGCGCTCGCAGCAGAAGGAGCGCATTCTCTGGCCAAGCAGACAGCGAGATGGATAGGGCAGTCGTCAGTACGATGGCAGTCCCAGGCCGTGGACGCGGAGGGCATCCCGAGTGAGACGGTCATCGAGCTTCAGGGCATGCCCGTCGGGCTGCAGAGGGCCTACGACAAGGCAAAGGAGGATGAATAGGAGGTTGGGGAAGCTAGTCAGGGGACCGCACAGAGACAGGAAGCGCGCGGCCTGAGGAGGAAGACCTCGGACCCGTGATCAGGTGGCTGGGGCACCACCTGGTGGAGTACAAGAGCGACGACGGCGAGATGGGCCTGGCCTGACGGAGGTGTGGGGCCAAGGGGGCTCAAAGCCGCTTGGCCGTCAAGGGGAGGCGAGGTGAGCTGCTCTTTCAAGAGTGCCGAGGCGAGAGCAGGGGCTTCAAGGAGCAGCTCAGGAGGCACAGGAGAGGCCTGCACCCGCTGCCCTGCAGGCGGCGTGCAGGTGTGGCTCCAGGCGTGGAGTCGGAAGAGCTCTGTGGCAGGAGCCGGAGGCGGCGGCTGGCGAGCAGCTGCAGGCGCAGGATGACGCCTACAGGGGGCGAAGAGGGGGGCGCGAGGCTGGAAAGGCCCCAAGGCCCTGCAGCGGGGCCCTGCCGCTGAGGCTGTTGGGCGACGTCGACAAGGCCTGCGGGGTCGACGAAGAGGGCAGCCACGGCGGCCTGCCCAGAGGAGGAGGGGCAGAGAGGTCCAGGGCCGCGCGCCGAGGGGAGCGGGCGGCCGCGGCAAGGGCGCGGCGGGCGCTCCGAGCCGAGTGCGAGGGCTTCCGTGCGCCGCGTGGCAGCTGAAGCCAGAGGCGGCTGGCGCGGAGGGGGCGCAGGCCAGTGGAGAGGCGAGGCCAGCTGCGTGGCGGCGGGCCTGGCGGTGGGCTCCCTGCGGGGCCCGCCGAGGAGCTGCGCGCGCGGAGCCGCCGGCTCGGCCGCGGGGGTGCGAGCGTGTGGCACCCCCCGTGGCGCCGTCGCCGCCGCCGCCGCCGCCGCCGCCGTCGTCGTCGTCGTCGTCGTCGTCGTCGTCGTCGTCGTCGTCGTCGTCGTCGTCGTTGTCGTCGTCGTCGTCGTCGTCGTCGTCGTCGCCGTCGTCGTCGTTGTCGCCGTCGTCGTCGTCGTCGTCGTCCCCTCTCCAGCCCTCCCTTCCTCCGGTCCCCATCCATTCCTTGTCGAGGCTGCGGCCTCCACGCCATGCCCAGATGGGGACGAGCGAGCTCCCCAGTGGAGTACACGCGACTCAGGCGTTCACTTCGCTTCGCTTCGCGCGCCTCCTCCAGACCCCTGCGCCTCCCGGGGTTCGGCGGGGGCCGTCGGGGTCCCAGGCGCCCGCTTCCCAAGCATGACCGCGGCGCCGGCCCCGCTCAACGGCGGCGCCGCTGGACGCGGCGGGGCGCGGGCAACACAGGCGCCCGGGGGGGGGAGGAAGGGGGCGGATGGTGGAGAAGGAGAGGGAGGAGGCGGAGAAGGACGAGGAGGAGGAGGAGGACATGAGGAGGACGAAGCACAGGAGTACGATGATTATGATGATGATGACGATGATGAAGATGGTGGTGGTGGTGGTGATGGTGAGGATGATGATGAGGATGATGATGACGATGATGATGATGATGCTGATGCTGATAATGGTGATGATGTTGGTGATGATGGTGATGAGCATGATGAGCAGGAGGAGGAACATTTGAGGAGGATGAGGCAGCGGATGATGATATATAATGGGGACCACTGTATACTCAACACCTATCAACGGCGTTTGAACAATCCCTCTCTTTCAAGTTCCCTCTTCATAGGTCCCTACCAAAAACATTCCACTTCGGGAAGTGCCCCATCGGAAAACAACCGTCTTAGAATCTTAGAGTCCTCAATCATGCCAACACACCATTCCAGCGACTTCAACGCGGGGAGTCAATTTGACTGTTGCTTCCGGCGCTCCTAAATCGTGCCAGAAACCACTCATGGGACTTCAGCCCCGCGAGTAAACGTGATTGTTGCGACCTGACAATCCTAAGTCGTGCCATGACACCGTTCCTCGGACTTCAGCCATACGAAGCCTTGCTGTTGCAAAGTTTTAAAACGAGTGCGCGTGGCGCTGAGGCGAGCGCCCTCATTCCCCCACAACTGGTTGCAGGTATGTTTTTTGGCGGCACGTGCCCTGGGCACGAGTGCTGGTCCGGCCGGCTCGTTGCCACCCGTCGCTGCTCGTCGCCGTCGCCGTCGCCGCTTGTAACTGAGCTCTGGAGCCATTCCAGCCAGCTCGTTGCCGCCCGTCGCCACCGCAGTCGCTGCCGCTGGCAGCCCTCGCCACCGTCGCCGCAGTCGCATTGCATTGTGTTGCATTGCATTGCTTTGCACGGCAACGAGTTGCGTTTCATTGATCTGCATTGGTGTGCAGCGCTTTTCGTTGCAATACACTGTTTTGCATCGCTTTGCACTGCCTCGCATTGCTTGGCAGTGCTTGGCACTGCTTGGCATTGCTTGGTATTGTTTATCCTTGTACTGCAGTGCTTCACATTTGTTGTTTGCGTTGCGTGCGTTGCGCTGTACCACATAGGTTAAACCACATGAATTGCACCACCTAGACTGCACCACATTGATTTCAGCATCTAGATTGAACTGCATAAATTGCAAGGGCTCACGACTTGGGGTCCACACTGGCTGACATGAAAACGACCCGCCCTCCATCTTAGAAGCGCTTGCAAACTTTAAGACGAATGTGCGCTGCGCTAAGGCGAGAGCCAACATTTGAAAACGTGCCGCTCTCCATCTTTGAAGCTGTTACAAACTTTTACTGCATGAATGCGGCGCTGAGGCGAGAGCCACATTTTCAAAGCCACCCGCCTCCATCCTTAAAGCTGATCCAAACATCAATATTCGGGATCATAAGCTGTGAGGAAGTCTCAGGCGAACCGCCCAGGCCCACCCTACTGACACGTCTCGGAGTTTGACAGTGATGAGTTGGTTTGATGGAAAAATGGGTTATTGATGATGGTGGTGATGATGATGATGATGATGATGATGATGATGATGATGATGATGATGATGATGATGATGATGATGATGATGATGATGGTAATGGTGTGGTGATGGTGATGGTCATGGTGGTGGTTATAATGATGACGATTGTGATGATGAGCTTAGAAAGTAGGAGGAACATGAGTACAGGCGGATGATTTAGATGATGAGGATGAAGGGCAATGTGATGCAGAGGAGCAGGAGGAAGAGGAGGAGGACGACGAGGATGGATGAGGAGGAGGAGGAGGAGGGCGAGGAGAGCTGGTGCTGATTATGAAAAGGAGGATCGGCAAACAACGCTTCGGTTTGCACTGTGCACGCTCACTAAACTGAGTGTAATGCTAGAGGTGCCCAGGATGTTTGGCTAATTCGCGGCAGCATAATGGCTGATACATCTGCTGAGCAAGGGCTCCAACTCTTGGAGATGTCTTATCACTGGCCCCTTTTTTTCAGGCTGTAAGCGGATTGTCAAGGACCGCGTCTTGCGGCATGGTTGTGCCCAGGCCGCTTTCGGGCCTCGAGCAGGTGGTATCGAATTCGAGGATGAGTGCTCGCAGGCACTGATGGAAGTTTGCAAGGGGGCGGGGGTGACGCCGTTTGAGCGGCGTCCCATGGCCGTGGGGTCCTGGGTGTTGCCCCCCCTCCCCCCCTCCGCCTCCGCCTCCGCCTCATCCTGCTTCCAGGGATTTCCTCCAGGTGCTTGGAGTTTTCTAGGTCCCAGTGGCCGTACCATCGTGCATGTTATTGTCCAAGCTGAAAACAGGGAGTCGCCCGATGACGCCGTTGTGTTTGCATGCTGCGGGGCCTCGGCGTATCAGAGTGCACGAGGAGGTCTCCAAATGAATTGCAAAGCGTCCTCCCATAGCGGCTATAAGACTCAACGGTACCGTTTAAAGCGCGAGTTGTTCCCAGGCTGTAACTTGGGCAGTGCCACCATCGGCACACCGTTTGGGCCGTCAGGCGAGATCAAATCTTTGGGGGGATCCTCCTGATTGCGAGCCTGATGTGAATGGCGGTGGAAGGGATGGGTCCCGACAGTGTAGCCGTTAAAGGGTCTGTTGCAGCCGCGGGTGTTCCTCTCCCTACTTTTGCGCTCGTTGAGTTGCTGCCCTTGCCGCCCCATCGTATTGCTAAGCTATTGTAGTGGCCTCCAGCCAGTGCCGCCGATCCGGGGCGCTCCGGGTGCCTGTGGAAATGAACGACGACGAGGAAGACGAAAACGACGACGAAAACGAATACGTCGACGACGACGACGACGAGAGCGACGACGACAACGACCACGACGACGACGACGACGCGATGACGACGACGGCGACGCGAGCGACGACGACGAGCACGACGACGACGATGACGCGAGCGACGACGACGACGACGACGACGACGACGACGACGACGACGACGACGACGACGACGACGACGACGACGACGACGCGACGACAACGACGACGACGACGACGACGACGACGACGACGACGACGACGACGACGACGACGACGACGACGACGACGGGGGGGGAGCTGGGTTGCAGGGGGGGGGTCTGCTCTGCAGGGGGGGTCCGCTCGGCAGAGGGAGGGGCTGCAGGGGAGAGGGGGGGTCCGCTCTGCAGGGGGGGGGGGCTGCAGGAGGGGGGGTCTGCTCTGCAGGGGGGGGGGGGGGCAGGGGAGGGGGGGGGTCCGCTCTGCAGGGGGGCGGGGCTGCACGGGAGGGGGTCCGCTCTGCAGGGGGAAGGGGGTGGCTGAGCTGCAGGGGGGGAGGTGTCCGCTCTGCAGGGTGACGGGGTGCAGGAGGGGAGGTCTGCTCTGCAGGGGGGAGGGGGCAGAGGAGGGGAGGGGGGTTCGTTCTGCAGGGGGAGAGCTGCAGGGGGGAGGTCCGCTCTGCAGGGGGGGGTCCGCTCTGCAGGGGAGGGGGTGCAGGGAGGGGGGGGGAGGGTCTGCTCTGCAGGGGGGGGGGGGGGGCTGCAGGGGGGGGTCCGCTCTGCAGGGGGAGGGGGGGGGCTGGGCTGCAGGAGGGGGGGGGAGGCGCTCTGCAGGGGGGGGGGTTCGCTCTGGAGGGGGGGGGGGGGAAGCACTGAATTAGGTCGGAAACTGAAATAGGTCGGAAATGAGGCCCCCCCCCCCTGCGAAGCACTGAAATAGGTCGGAAATGAGGTCCCCCCCCCCTCCTGCGAAGCCCGAGGTCGGAAATGAGGTCCCCCCCCCCGCAGCGAAGCTTGAGCGAGCTCAAGCCCACGCTCTCAGAAACTCACACGCCGGATCGGCGGATATGGCTTCGCTACCCCCGAGGCGCTTGTTGGCTGGGATCGAAGCCAGCGCCGTCGGGGGGACGATACGGTTGAGATGTACCGACACCAGCGCCTTCTTGTTTCCGGCTTGTGTGCCAGGGGGTGGAGACCCACCCCGTATCGCAAGTGGCCTCAGTACCCTCCTCCACCCTGCCCCCTCTCCCTCCCTCCACCGACGACGACGGCGTCGACGCCCACGCCCACGACCACGACCACGGCCACGACCACGACCACGCCGACCACGACCATGGTCGCGACCACGACCAGGACCACGACCCCTCGACCGCGACCCCGATGCAGATCACCACCACCACGACGGCGGCGGCGGCGGCAGCGAGCCAGGCCGCGGCGCCCGAGGGCGGCCGCCCGCCAGGGGAGCGGCCGTTGCCGCGGCTGCTGAGGCCGCGGGGGGTGGGCGCGTCGGTGGAGGTCGGGGGAGGCCGGCGCGTCGGAGGGGGCGGTTGTGGTGGTGGTGGTGGTCGTCATCACCCCGAGGTGCGGGGAGGGAGGAGGGAGGAGGGAGGGCGAGGAGGAGAAGGAGGGGGAGGACGAGGAGGAGGAGGAGGAGGAGGAGGAGGAGGAGGAGGAGGAGGAGGAGAGGAGGAGGAGGGAGGAGGCGGAGGAGGCGGAGGGGGAGGAGGATCAGGAGGTGGGACCAGTGCGAACCCAAGACTCATCATCGATGTTGGGATACACCCTCGCTCCAAGCTCCCCCGATCATCGGCCCCATGCAAAGGTTCACTTCCACTGATGGAAGTGCCCCGTTGGGAGAAAATCGTTTGAACATGTTGAAGCTCGCCAAAATACCATTCTCAGGACTTCGACGTCACGAGCCAACATGATTGTTGCGTCTTGACAGTCCTGAGTCGTGCCAGAACACCAATCCTGGGACTTCAGTCACGCGAATCAACGTGACTGTTGCGCCCTGGTAATCCTGAATCGTTTCTTTGTCTTGCGGAGGCGTCCTTCCGCCCTCTCCGCCTTCCTCCTCCTCATCCTTCTCCTTCTCCTCCTCCTCCTGTTCCTTTTCGTCCTACTCGTTGCATGCTTCATCCTGTTCCTCTTTCGCCTCCTCCTCCTCCGCCTCCTCCACTTCCTCCCTCTCCTCATCCTGTTCCTCCTCCTCCTCCTCCTCGGCCTTTGCCTTGCCCTCCTCCTTCGCCTCCTCCTCCTCCCCCTCCTCATCGCCGCCCCGCGCGTTATCTTCCTGCACCTCTCCTTCCTCATGGCAGGGGCTCGCGCGCGTAGATTTTCCTCGGCGCCCTCGCCGCCACGCCTGGCAGGGGCGCGTTCTCCGACGGCGAAATCGCACAGCCGTCGGTGGCATCCCCGTGGGCCAGGCCGTCGGGACAACCCCGCGAGCCGCTGCCGCGCGAGACCAAGCCGTTGGGCCAATCCCGCGGGCTCCGAGCGGCCGCCGCGCTCAGGTTGGGGGCGGCACGAAGCCCAGCTCTGCCGCGAGCTGCTCCGCCTCTGCCCTGGAGCTTTCCGCTCTGACGTCGAACTCCAGGAGCGCCTTCCGCAAGGATGCCGGCGGCCCTCGCGCCAGGATCTCTCGCGGCGGCCGCAGGAACAGCATGTTCCACATGCGCGTGGCGCGGGAGAACATGACGTAGAAGTGCAGCCACCACTGCTCGACCGACATGCCCGTGCGACCAGCGTCCTTGTCCCTCGCGCAGTGGGTGGTGACGCCCTTCCGCAGCGCCTGGCCATGCGACAGCGTGGAGGTGAGGTACGACGCGTGCGTCTGAACCCCGAGCGGCGCAGAGCGTGCGGCCCCGAGCTCTGGCACGTGAGCTCCTGCTCGCTGGGCCTGAACATGAGCAAGCTCCTCGCCCGCGCCTCGGCCTCGCCGTCGTCGTCGTCGCCTTCGGCGCCCTGTAGGAGCATTTCGGCGACCTCCTGATCGATCGGAGACTCCGTGGAGCCGTGCACCTGCAGCCAGATTCCTCGCGGCAGGTTGCGGGTGCGGAAAAGCCAACCGGGCGAGCAATCCTCGTGCCGTTGCTCGTCTTAGGGGTGAAACTCGAAGGATACGATGGCGGCCCGTTGTTCCTGCACGAGCCCCAACTTCTTCTTCAGCTCTTCCTGCACTGCCGCGAATCGCACCTCCATGCCGATGTGGGCCGGTAAGACGCCGTGTATGTCCCCCGTCTTGTGCTTGTTCGGGACGTTCAGGAGGCGCCGGCCCGCGTCGGGACCGCCCTGACTTGCGTTACACTCGTCCACGGCCTGCCAGAAAACGAGGGGCGCGCCCAGACGCCGCGCGTCGCGACGAGCGCGCGTGTTGATCCACCCCGCCAGCGTCTCCCAGTAGATGCCCATGCCGTAGCCGTCCCGAAAGTTTTCGCGCTGGCGCCGAGGGTCCAGGACGCCGTGGTTGTCCGGGGCCAGCGTTTCTTCCCAGGCGAACCAGACCTCGGGCGGGATGGGCTTGCCGTCGCGCGTGCAGCCCGAGAGCGTGATCAGAGGGTCCCTGGGCTCGACGCGCGTCGTGCCTTTCAGCTCGAAGACGCAGGGAATCTGAGAGAACACCTCGGTGGCGTGCTAAATCTCCACCGTCGGCGGCTCTGCGTACTTGTAGGACCCGTCGTCCAGGAGCTCGTTCACGTCCGTCAGGAGGCCGATGCTGCCCGTGGGCTTCAGCTGCAGGAAATCGCCGAGGTGCAACACGATGGGGACGCGCCCGTAGTGGTGGTGCGGCCGCTTGTACGTGGACTCCTGCACGTCGCGCGTGTCACTGCGTCCGTGGCGCGCGCGAAGGTCCAGCGCGATGTACAGCGCGGCCGCCACCCGCTTGATACCTTCTCCATATCCAGGCTTCAGGGCCCCCAAAGCGACGTCAGATACAGGATCCCGATGACCCGTTCGGATTATATATATATGTATATATATATATATATATATAAAAAAAATGAACGGTGTGCCCCACAGGGATAGGACTTCGGCCTGAGACGTTCTCGCAAGTAACTCACTGACGAGGCTCTGGCTTGATACTTCGTCCGTATCCAGGCCTCAGAGGCCCAACAGCGACGAGAATTACAGGATTCCGATGACCCGCGCGGATTAAAAGCGTGAGCGGTGGGCACCACAGGGAGGGGGTTCCCGCCTGAGACTTCCTCGCAAGTCAGTCACAGACGAGGCTCCCGCCTGATACTTCCTCGATATCCTGGCCTCTGAGGCCCAAGCACGACGACAGCTACAGGATTCCGAAATCCCGTTCGGATTAAACAAATGAGCGGCGGGCCCCATAGGGAGAGGGCTCCCGCCTGAGACTTCCTCGCAATTTACTCACAGACGACGCCCCCTCCTGAGACTTTATCCGCATTCAGGTTTCATGGGCCGAATTGTGACGACAGTTAAAGAATTCCGATGGCCCGGTCGGATTAAACGCATGAGCGGCTGGCCCCATAGGGAGGGGGCGGCCGCCTGAGACTTCCTCGCATGTCACTCGCCGACGAGGCTCTGTTGTCGATGATGTTGTGACAATGATGCAGATTATGACGGTGATGCAGAGTGATGTGCAATAGGTGTGACTGAATGATTAAGTTGGAGAGTGAGAGTCTGTGCCCGTGCGAAAGTGATGATGCTGCGGTTCTGATGTTGATGCTCATGCTGCTAACGAGGATGATGCCGTGAGTGTGTGAGTGGCAGTTGGAATGGAGGGGGTGTTCCTTTTCCTGCGCGGGGTGTTTAGAGAAAACAAGAACCCCACTTTGGATGTGGGGAACAACCTGCCCTCAATCCGTGAAGCCCCTGCGTTGTTGAAGACGAGTGCGCGCGGTGCTAAGGCGTGAGCCACATTTTGAAAACGACTTGGCCTGAATCCGTGACGATTTTGCAATGTTCGAAACGAGTGTGCGCGGTGCTACGGCGGTTACCACAGTCTGAAAACGACCCGCCCTCAATATGTGAAGCACTTGCAGTTTATGAAAACGAATATGCGCGGCGCTACGGCCATAACCACATGTGGACAAAAACACCCACCCTCCATATGTGAACATGCTGCCAGATTCTTAGCTTCAGGCTCATAATGGCAAGGACGTCTCGGGCGAAACGCTCGGCCTGCCCTTTCGACCAGCTTCGGGGTGCGACAAGGAGGAGTGATTCAGAGGGAAGAGGAATGGAAACGGAGGAGGAGGAGAAGGAGGAGGAGGAGGAACAGGAGGGGGAGGGAGAGGGGGAGGAGGAGGAGGAGGAGGAGGAGGAGGAGGAGGAGGAGGAGGAGGGATGGGAGGAGGAGCATGAGCAGGAGGAGGAGGAGGAATGAGGAGGAGGAGCAGGAGGAGGAGGAGGAGGAGGAGGAGGAGGAGGAGAGGAGGAGGATGAGGATTAAAAGGAGGAGGCGGAGGAGGAGGAAAAGGAGGATGAGAACGAGGACGAGGACGAGGAGGGAGGAGGAGGAGGAGAAGGAGTAGGAGGAGGAAGAGGAGGAGGAGGAGGAGGTGGAGGAGGACGAGGAGGAGGAGGACGACGACGACGAGGAGGAGAGGGAGGACGAGGAGAGGGAGGAGGAGGAGAAGGAGGAGGAGGAGGAGGAGGAGGAGCACGATGGCAAGATAATGACCGCCGCCGCTTTGCACGCAACATGACTTTAGGGGTATCATACTGCCGCCCCGAAACAAATAGGCAGCTTCAGATAGCCAGTTTCACTCTCTTCCTTCTCGCCTCTCTTTTCCTACTTTCTGCAGCGCATCTGGAGCCGGGCACATCTGCGTGGATGGAGTATTCCATCCCAACACCTTGGGAGTTTGGAACCCGACAAAGTTGGGAATGGAGGCCACTCATAGTCCTATCCGCCTCCTTAGCAGTCAGCAGTGCCAATTTCAGCCGACGGATAGACCAGTGAATGAACCTGGCCAAGCTCCCGCCCGCATCATGGTGCTCGCTCTCCCCTGCCCTCTTTTGCATAGCTACCTGACGACGGCAAATGCAACCACGTCAGAGAGTCGCACCGTGCGCTACTAGGCAAGAAAGCCGACCAGACCTTTCTCACAGCAGATCAGAAGACTTTCCCTGCTGATGTATGCCTATGCCTCGCCAAATCAATGTATACAAGATCTTGTTTCACCCTTTGCGCAGGACCCGCAAGACCTCTTCGAGCGTGCTAGATCCCCGCTTCTCTGTCGCTCTGAACTCTGACTTCTTGTGGGAACTGGTTTTGTGGATCCCACATGTCCTTCCCCCAAAGAGTCCAGGTGTATCCAGCGCTGCAGCGGCTCCGCAACCTTGTGGCTCCCAGGTCAGCAGCGACAACGGGAGACCCCGCGACCTCGCCCAATGCTGGGCCGGCTTCAGGTGAGGGCGCGGACTCAGGGGCAGAAAAAGAAACAGCTAAATTTCTTGGCACCGCGCTGCCCCCTCTCTATAGACTCTCTTGCCCCCCGACGGGATTATTCAGCAAGTCAGGCGCGTTCAGAACAATCGGGACACATCAAGACAATCGAGAGAGGCAAGAGCGGCAGGACAGCCAACTTTTTAGCCCTCTCCTTTCCCGGGGATGTCGTGTGCAGATGTTTGGGCAGTGCGAGGGGACCGCCCGCTGGAACAGATCTTCGAGGACGCCAAACCATGAGATCCACGTATTCAAGGCAGACCTCTGCGAGAGGACGGTTTATTCACAGCCGAGTTCTGAATGATGCAGTAGAGTTTCATCTGTTGCCTCCACCTCCAGGTGCGTTTGCTCCTCTCCCCTTTCTTTGGACGTTTCAATTCGCCTCAGCCAATGGCTTTCCCAGCAGCATGCGCATCCTGACTTAGCGCCAACAGCGCCGCCTGGGGATTGTTCACAGCCAGCATGCAGCGCCAGTTCGTACGCGGCGGCAGCCGCGCTTCAACCTCCTCCAGCTTTTGCACAGCGGCCTCCGCCACCGCCACCCCCTCCGCCAGAGTCGATTGGCAGGGCAGCAGCTCCGATTGCAGCACCGACTGGAGAGAACCAGGGGCACGCAGAAGCCACAGCCCGTCTTCCAGCGACCCTACTCGCTCAGTCGGCCTTTCTGCACCTCATCCATCTCCTCCTCCCCCTCCCCCTCCTCATCCTCCTCCTCACCCTCCTCCTCCTCCTCCTCCTCCTCCTCCTCCTCCTCCTCCTCCTCCATCTCCTCCTTTCCCTCCCCCTCCTCCACCTCCTCCTCCTGCTGCTCCTCCTCCCTCACCGAGACCCGCGCCACTCCCACAACAATCAGACACACGCAGTGCCGCTCGCCTGTCTAAGTATTTCCAAAGGGTGAGCAGGCTCGGAAGCACAAGGACTCCAGGTCCCATGGTCTGCCATCAGGCTCATTGCTGAGTTTGGCCCGCTTATCCCCGGTCGCTTGGCGGCGGCGGTAGTTGCGTTCTTCGGTCCCTTTGATAGCATGCGCCGACACTCGGATGCTCGGTTTTACTTTCGATCCAGGCTTGCAGATGAGGCAGAGTCGCGCGACTCATCATCGGGCACAGAGTCGCACGACGTTCCCACCCCCGGCGGCGATTGCTTTAAACCCGCCGGTCCCGCCGTCAACAGCGCATCCTAAACTTCCGTCCTCACCGCCACTTTCGCAGGTTGCGCCTCCCAGCTTCTGTGCCGCGCTATCCAACGCCAGAGCCACAGGCAGCCAGCGCCACCCCCAGGATGTTTAGCCCGGGAGAGAAGGCACAACCAGCAAGAGACAGGGCAGCCACAGCCCAAGAGGCACAAGGTTCAGACCCTACAAGGTTTGCTTACCTGCAGGGCGTGCACCGTCCTTCGTTTCTTGTTCTTATCATGTCCTCCTTCCTCCTTGGTGTACTGCGCATCGTTACACGCGTGATCGCGCAGGATGCGCGGCGCGGCACGGGCGCTCACGCTCCTGCAGTCGTCTTCGTCCCTCCCTGCTCTTCCTGCGTGAGGGCATCCGCCCGCTCACGTCCGTGGGGCGTGGGCCCGCACGACTGCTTTCGGAAGCGCGCCTTGCGCGGTGCGCAGCGCTCTGCTCGGGACTTTTGCTTCCCTCATGCAGTGACCGCCACCGCCGCCCTCTCTTCTTCTCTTCCTCGCGGTGACCGCAAGCCGCTGCCGCCACAGCTCTTCACCCCTTAAGGGGCCCATTCCTGGCCAGGGGGTGCGCTTCGTACGCCTCGGGGTGTCGAGGGCCCTCTCTCTCCCCCCCCTCTCCTCTGGGCCGTTTCTGCACGTGCATGCACTTGCCGAAGCACCAACCGCTCGCGATGTGCACTTCCGCTTGCAAGCGCAGCGATTTTTTTTTAAGGAAAGAAAATAAGGACACATCATATATAAATATTCGCTTGTAACGCACAGCCGCGTTCAAGGTCCATGTTCTCCACGGGTCGGCACAACTTTCCGGGTCGAGTGTCTCATTCCTCGAGGGCGTGCGCGGGAAGTGTGTTTTTGTTCTTCTCCGTTCCCCGACAGCCAGTTCTTGTCTTGGCGCTGTGATGTGCAGCATTCACTGCTCTCTCCACGGAGCCATGGCGGCCCCTTCGCCCCCTTGGAGCGTGGCCCGCGATGATGGCGAACCAAGAGCACGGCGCGCCCGCGCTGCTGGAGAGCACTTGCCAGGGCAATCCATGGCAGGGTTCACTGAACACAGCCAACATCCGCCGCTTCCGCAAGTGGTTGCCCACCGTCTATCTGGGCGAGTGGAAGTTGCCGAACGGCATGTTCTACCCATTCAATTGGAAATTGGGTGGCATCACCATGCGCGACAGCCAGGCGCACGAGGAGAGAGATTGGACGTGGGTGCGGAGGAGAAGGAGCTTCTTCGGGAGCACCCACGCGCACGCGCCGCCACCAATCTGGAGTGAGAAGGTGGCCAGCCGCTTCTAGTTCCTTCTTGCCCCATTGCTTCCCCCCTTCTCCTCGCGCCAGCTAGCGCTTGCCTGGTCTCATTCATACACCGCTTTCAGGCCACAGAGTCAATGCACGCAGCAAGCGATACTCTCTCCAGCAGCAGCGTGACATCAATTAGCCTCGCCATGTCTCATTTCTTCGCCGGTCCAGTCATGCGATCTTACCGTCAAGCAGAGCTAGATTCGAGGCGGGGTGCGCGTCGCTCTCAGCAGTCCTTTTTGCCTGCAGGTTGTTTTACACATCTCGGTTTGGCAGCTCTACCCAGAAGAGGTTCTGCCAGCGCGTGCGAACGTAGTTATCAGGCATACTAAAAACCGTGCGCGCTCTCTCTCTCTCTCTCTCCCTCTCTCGCTCTCTCTCCTTTTCCTCCTACTTTTCTCTGCCCGTGTCCCTCGGTACCGACCCCTCTAAACCTCAGCAGTTCCTATGCAGTTCGCCCAAGCTCGAGTCTCTCCGCGTGCCTCACCGGAGCTTTCATATATTCAAGGAAGGGCGCTTGCCACCAATAGCCTTTTCCGAGGCAAGGGCAATGGCCCATGCAGAAAATATGAGTTGCACAGCGCGTGAGTGGTTCACACACCCATCCCTTTGTCTCATAGCCCCCCCTACCTGAACTGACCAGCTGAACCGCACATGCCAGCACAAAAGCTCTGCAGTTGATCTTGGCGTCTTCAAGAGTGCCCGTTGCACTGCTCATGGTGCGTGGGCGTGCAGGTTTTACGCGGCACGACGGTCCAGCAGGGCATTGTCATGCAGGGGAGGATCCAGTCCGCCCGCCTACACAGGTTGTGTGCGCCACAACGCCCCAGGCGAGTGCCCGCAGCGTTCCCCCTTCCGTCCTCTCGATGTTTGGAGCCTCCCAACCTCGCTTGAGATAGGGATGGCGACCATACAGCCCCAAGGCCATCGTGGCACTCCACTCCCACTCCTCCCCCTCGACTGCCTGTCACATGTGACGGGCGCCCCGGCCATATCGTCCTCTGTCGGGCAAGATCGTCTTCAGGGCCAGCTGCACCCCATGCCACGGTGAGCAACCAGCCCATTTGCGTGTCGACCTGGCTCTGCAGGGTGTTGCCTTTCCTCCATTCCTCCTTCAAGATTGCGAAGGCCTTACGGCCGGTGCCGCCGACCCTGAGAACGACGAAGTTGAAAACGAGGGTGGGGGCAGGGTTAGGAGGATGAGTGGGAGGTGGAGTAAGGGTGGAGGAGGTGGATGAGGGAGGAGGAGGGGGGAGAAGGATGTGGAGGAGAAGCAAGAGGAGGAGAAAGAGGCAGAGGAGGAGAAGGGGGAGCACAGGGGGGGGAGGAGGAGGAGGGTTTTGTCTTTCCTCCATTCCTCCTTCAAGATTCCCCCCCTTTCCCCCAGGCACTCCTCCTTCAACATTCTCCTTCAATATTCTCCCTCAATATTCCCCCTCCTCCTTCAATATCCCCTTCTTCAGTATTCCCCAGGCACTGCTGTCACCTCCTCGGATGGCGATTGGCTTCGTCGGGGGCGAAAAACGTTCGCACGATGCGTCAGCTGGGGCTCGGGGCCCGCCTGCGCGCGCGCTGCGCCTTCGCACGTCGAACCTCGGCGCGCGACGCTCCCGGGTCAGGGAAGCCCCGCCCTGTCGGTGCCCCCTCCTCCCCCTTCGCTGCCCGCGTCGAGGCGGGGCGAGCGGCCGCTGGCGAGGACGTGCAGCGCCCCAGTGATAGGCCGTCCTCGCCCCGCGGGGGGGAGGGGGAGGAGGAGGGGGAGGAGGAGGGGGAGGAGGAGAAGGAGGAGGAGGAGGAGGAGGAGGAGGAGGAGGATTGTGGGAGGAGGGGGAGGAGGAGGAGGATTGTGGGAGGAGGGGGAGGAGGAGGAGGAGGGGTCGAGAGAGGGGAAGTCGGGAGGGAAGAGGGAGAGACGAGGGACCCATGCCAACTCGCATCGTAAAGACATCACGGCGATGGCTTTTCGTGAGTTTCGTTTCCTGGGGGGCCCTCATCGGGTCCAGGGCCGTGAAGAGATGAGTTGGGCTGAGCAACCTGCTTCCGCGTCCATGAGGGCCATGCAGTGAAAACATTGCGCTTGGGAGGTTTGGGGATGTGATGTAAAGGAGGAGGACGAGGGAGGAATGAACGAGGAGACGCGTTATGTAGTGCGTCTCAGGGGACTGGCGGAGGCTATCAGAGGCCTTCGGCCGAGACCTCTGGAGACTTCCAGAGACCTCTGGAGATGAATGCCATGGGAATGTCGTTTTGGCCAGAATTTCGAGGCAGACCCACCCGTGGTGACGAGAGGGTAGTTTCGTGTTGAATTCTCATTTCTGAAGAATAATTATTGTTGATCCCCGCCCACCGGTGCATACTGTTTTTTCTCAATCAAAGTGTGCCCCTCGACGCTCGCACCTTGTTTTTTGGCAGGGAAAGTCTTCCTGCTCAAACTGGGCCCCTGGCCCCCAGGTTACAACAACAACAGCTCCTGCTTGAGACTTCCTTACAATTTAGGCAGGACCCCCGCTCCCGCCCGAGACTTTCTCGCATTTTATTCAGGAATCGCGCTCTCGCTGGAGGATTCCTTACAATTCATTCAGGAATCGTTCTCCCAGAGCTCTGGAGTCGCGCTCTCGCTGGAGACTTGCTTGCAACTTCCTGAAGAATAGCATTGCGTTGGAATTTATTGCAATTTGCCCAAGCGCCGCGCTCCCGACACCCAGGCACCCAGGAGTCGCGCCCGTTGTGGCCCCATGTGCATGCTCTTTGTGGCCCCGCTGTCGCCATTTGTGTCGCCCTCATTGTCCTACGTGGCCCAGCTGCTACCCTCAGTGGCCTCATAGTTGCCTTCTGTGGCCCCGCATTATCTGCACTTCGTGGCCCCCGCTCGTTCACACTTCGTGGCCCCATAAGCATTCCCTTCGTGTCCCCGCTGTCGCCCTTCGTGGCCAACTTCGTGCCCTTCGTGGCCCTGCTGTCGTTCTCCCTCGCTCTCGCTTTCGCTCGTCGTCGCCGTCGTCTTCGACGTCGTCGTCGTCGTCGTCGTCGTCGTCGTTGTCGTCGTCGTGGTCGGTCCCCTGTCCGTCCCTCTTGGGGTCGGGTCGACGGTCCGCGGCCGCCCCGCCGATCAGCGCTGCCGCTGGCCAGGCCGACGGTCCGCGGCCGCCCCGCCGCTTGCCGGGGCCCGGCCTGCAGGGAAGAAAGGTATACCCCCCAAAAGGGGTTCGATCGAAGACGAAGAGGGCGGGTATCGAGGGTTTGGGAAATATGCGTTATGGGACACTCGAGCATATAAGGGCGAACGGTCTTAAACGTATTGTTGTTGTTGTTGTTGTTGTTGTGTTGTTGTTGTGTTGTGTGTTGGGTGTTGGTGTTGGTGTGGTGTTGGTGTGGTGTTGTTGTTGTTGTTGGTTGTTGTTGTTGTTGTTGTTGAACATTATTAATTCTAAAGAATAATTATTGTTGGGACCCCTGGTGCACGGCCCCCCTGCGCCGCCTAGGCCGCAGCTACATTTTCATCATTTTCGTGAGGAAGCCTCAGGTAATACGATGTCATCAAGATCCGGTTGTTTTGTTGTAATCCGTTTTCCCTTGCAAAAAACACTATAAAATGACATTTCTTGTTCTAATATAATCAAATTTCAAGAATCCCTTGCAAAAAATAAGGTAAAGTGGACATTCGCGCGCGCAAGACGAAATCCTTCCAAAAGCTTAGTGTTCGGAGCGATTTTAACATAAAAACATCAAAAAACCAATGGTTTTTCAACAAAAAAATGTCAAAATCTCATCCCGCGCGCTCTTGCGGATTCGTAGGAAACCCAACACTTTTTAAACATTTCTGTCAAACGGGCTTTTGCGAGCAACTTTTTCGAACTTCTGCGACAACGGTTGCGCACCTGCCAGGGCCATCATCCCTGTCAAATAATACCATGCGGGACACATTCGTTTTTTCTTCGCGCGCGCACGCCGTCGTCGTCGGCCGCGGGGCCCTGAATAGTAGCCACGGTCGTCCGCATGCCACGAAGTGAAGTGTCCGAACGTCATAGGGCGGGAAGCTGGGTGTGGGTGGTGGCGAAGAGTCGTTTGGAAATTTGGTAGAGCTTGAACCGGCCCCCCCACAAAGTGGGGGTATTGCCCGCCTCCTATGAAAACCCTGGCACTGGTGAGAACGGAGTGTCCCCACGTGCTAGTAATTGTTGTTGTTGTTGTTGTTGTTGTTGTTGTTGTTGTTGTTGTTGTTATTGTTCTTGCTATTGTTATTGTTCTTGTTGTCGTTCACGGCGCAAGTTGTTTTCGGTCCCCCCTCCTACCCCCTCGCACCCAGAGCTTAGGAGGAGGATGCGGAGCACGAAGAGAAGGAGGGGGAGGAGGAACACGAGGAGGACGAGGCAGGAACAGGAGAAAGATCACTGCGAAAACGAGGGGGGCCAGGTGGTGCCGAGCTTCATCTCCCTCCGACGGGCCCCCCTCGCGCAGGAGGTCACGAGCGGCGAACAGCCGTATCCGCGCCCTCGCGGCCCAGATCCCGGGAGGCGATCCCGCGGATACGCTGTCGCACGGATACTTTCCGCGCGGGGTACCGCGAAAAGACGCCCCGTATCGGCGGGGTCGCGAGGCCGCGGATACGGATATGGTTTTCGCCCACGAGGAGGGCCTCTCCACTGGCCACCAACCTTTCCACAATCCGTGGGGCCTGGGCCTATACTACGAATGCGCCTCGGCGGGGCCGTCCACGGCCGGAGAAAGCGCTCTCTTCAGAGCCCGAATCCGCGCATTCTGCATCCGACGGAGGAGGAGGAGAAAAGGAGGAGGGACAGGGAGGAGAAGGAGGCAGAGCAACACCGAGCCTTGGCATCGCTCGGACGTGTGCGTTCTTTCTCGGCGAGGGCCCTCGAGCAGCATCCCCGGGTCATCTCGCGAGACAATACACGCACGAGGCCGCAGCATGCACAGGGGATGGACGTCCGAGCGATGGCAAGGGGCACGCGCCATTGTGGCTGCGGCTGCCTCGGCCAGGGAGGCCCGCCCTGAAGCGTCGAAGGGACGAGAGGAGGAGGCCCAGCGGAGAAGTGTCGCAGGCCTAGAGGTTGACACCAACACCAAGATCGGCGGCGTGCCTCCACCCTGGGTAGACGATCCAGATCTCGGCGCTGGTGGTAATACTCTGGCTTCCAGGGTGGTCGAAATATTGGAAAGAGCGTGTTCTACCGCTGCTGGCGGAAAACCGGGCGGGGTCACTACTGGTTCGAACCCCTCCCCCCCCCCACTCCGGAAAAGCGGGGGGGGGTCACTACCGGTTCGAACCCCCCCCCCCCCCCCCAGTTCATCATGAAAAGGGGGGGGGTCACTACCGGTTCGAACCCCCCCCCCCTCGAAAACCGGGGGGGGTCACTACCGGTTCGAACCCCCCCCCCCCCTCGAAAACCGAGTGGGGGTGCGGACAGTGGTGGGGACGGTGTTGGTGGGGACAGTGGTGAGGGGACAGCGGGACAGTGGTGGGGACAGTGGGACAGTGGGACAGTGGTGGGGACGGTAGTGGTGGGGACAACGGTGGGAACGGGGGGGACAGTGGACAGTGGTGGGGACGGTGGTGGTGGGGACAGTGGTGTGGGGACAGTGGGAATGAGGTGGAAACAGTGGGACAGTGGAGGGTACAATGGTGGTGGGGACAGTGGTGAAGGCGGTGGCGAGGACGGCGGTGGGACAATGGGACAGAGGTACAGTGGGGACAATGGTGGGGACAGTGGGGACAGTGGTGGGAACAGTGGGACAGCTCAGTGGGACAGCGGAGGAGTCAGTGGGACAGTGGGGACAGTGGGGATAGTCGGGCAGTGGTTGGGTCCGTGGAGACAGTGGGGAGAGTGGAACCGTGGTGGGAACAGTGGTGGGAACAGTGGGGACAGTGCGACAGTGGTGGGGGCACTGGTGGGGACAGTAGGGACGGTGGTGGAACCAGTGGGGACAGTGGTGGTGAGGACAGTGGTGCTGGGAACAACAGTGGGGGATGTGATGCGGACGGTGGTAGGGACCGGGAGTCGTTTGCTGGCGGTGCGTGGGGGGAGGGGGGTTCGAACCGGTAGTGACCCTCCTCCGGTTTTCGGGGGGGGGGGTTCGAACCGGTAGTGACCCCCCCCGGTTTTCCAGATCCGGAGGGGGGGGGGGGGGGGGTTAGGGGAGGGGGGGGGTTTTGCCGGGGGAGGGGGGGAGGGGAGGGGGGGGGGTCCAGCAGGGGGGGGGATTTTCGGAGGGGGGGGGGGCGACCCCTGGGTTCCGGAGGAAAAGGCTGGCAATTTTCCACAGTAAAGCGGCGGTGGATCACGCTCTCTCAAATATTGCCACCAACACCGAAATCTAGGATCATCTTCCCCCCGTGGAGGCAACCCCTTGTGTTGGTGTTGGTGCTCATTTCCAGGCCTCAAATAGTGGGAATATCGGAGGTGGCGATATCCGGGAGCCTCGCCGGAGGCCTGGAGCATTGGCGCCCCTGGACACATGTATCGCTCTCCCCTGGGTTATTCGCCCCCGTCGTCGCCCCCGAGAACGGGATGAGAAGGGTGGGAGGTGGGGGGGAGTGGGGGGGGAGGTGTCGGGTCGGATCGACTCGGCAGAGGGGAGCTTCATGCTCCGCAGCGCCGTTGGGTGGAGGGGAAGGGGGAGGTGGAAGGATGATAATGATGATGATGATGATGATGATGATGATGATGATGATGATGATGATGATGATGATGATGATGAGAAGGATGATGATGATGCTGATGATGATGGTAATGGTGATGGGGACGGCGATGGTGACGGTGATGATGACGACGAGATTGATGATGACGATGTTGTTGCTGATGATGCTGTTGATAATGAGGTTGATGATGCTGTTGATAATGCTGATGATGAGGATGCTGATGAGGGTGATGGTGATGAAAAGATGATGACAGTGATGGTGATGCTGATGGTGATGTGATGATGGAGCTGATACTGATATTGATGATTCTGAGGTTGATGATGATGACTATGTTGCTGTCGATGACAAGGTTGATTATCATGCTGATGATCGTGATGGTGACGATGAGGATGATGATGATGATGATGATGACGACGGTGGCGTTGATGGTGATTGGGGTGATCATGATGATGAGGATGATGATGATGTTGATGCTGACTTGGTAGTGCTGCTGTTGTTGATTCTGATGATGACGATGACGATGCTTGTGGTTATGATGCTGCTGATGGTGATGCTGATGCTGATGCTGATGATGTTGGTAGTGATACTGATGGTGTTGTTGATGATGATGATGCTGATCATGCTGCTGCTGATGATGCTGATTCTGCTGTTAATGGTTTCGCTGCTGCTGATGCTGCTGAAGATTCTGCTGTTAATAGTAATTGATGACGCTGATGATGCTGCTGATGATGATGGTGAAGATGTTGATGACTATGCTGTTGCTGATGCTGATGTTGATGCTGATGATGATGTTGATACTGATGATGATGGTGCTGCTGATGATGCGTATGATGACTGTGATGGCGATGCTGATGAGGATGATGATAATGATGCGGTTGATGCTGATGCTGCTGAGGATGATGCTGACGTCGATGATGATCATGCTGACGATGACGATACTGATGTCAATGACGGTGGCGGTGATGATGGTAACGATGATGATGGTGGTGATGATGGTGAGGTCGGTGAAGCTGATGCTAATGATGATGATGCTGATGATGTTTGATGACGACGATGATGAGGATGGGGATGAGGACGAGGATGGTGTTGATGAGGATGCTGGTGGTGATGATGATGAATACATATGCTGCTGATGATGCTGGTGATGGTAAAGAGGAGGAGGAGACGGAGGAGGAGCAGGCGGAGGAGGGTAAGGCGGATGGGAGTGTCATGCTCCGCAGCTCCATCGGGGGGAGGGGAAGGGCGGGGGGGGGGGGGGAGGGATGGTGATGAAGAAGAATAAGTCGATGCTGATGCGGCTGATGATGATGACGGTGATGGTAATGGTGATGGTTATAATGCTGACGATGTTGATGATGGTGACGGTGATGATGAGGTTGTTGATGTTGATGCCGATGGCGTTGATGATTATGAAGATGAGGATGTTGGTGACGATGATGATGATGCTGGTGTTAGTGATGATGATGGTGATGATCATGATGATTATGATGATGATGATTAAGCTGATGATGCTGATGATGATGATGATGCTGACGGTGCTGATGATGATGATGATGAGGAGGAGGAGGCGGTGGAGGGGAGCGTCATACTTCCCAGCGCCGTCGGGTGCAGGGAAAGGATGATGATGATGATGCTGTTGATGATAATGATGATGATGACGATGATTATTCTTATGAAGATGACGGCGATGGTGATGCTGATGATGATGATGATGATGACGAGGTTGATGGTGTTGATTATGTTGATGATGCTGATGACGTTGATGGTGATGAAGATGATGATCAATAATATTATGATGCTGATGCTGCTGATGATGATGACGACGATGGTGGAGCTGATTTTTGCTGATGATGCTGATGATGGTGAGGAGGGGGAGTAGGAGGAAGGGGAGCGTCATGCTCCGCAGCGCCGTCGAGCGGAGGGGAAGGAGGAGGGGGAAGGATGACGTTGGTGATGATGATGAGGAGGAGGAGGAGGAGGAGGAGGAAGAGGAGGATGCTGATGCTGATGCTGATGCTGAAGCTTCTGCTGATGAGGATGAGGAGGAGGAGGAGGAGGAGGAGGATGATGATGATGATGATGATGATTATTCTTATGAAGATGACGGCGATGGTGATGATGATGATGATGGTGATGATGATGCTGAGGATGATGCTGACGTCGATGATGATCATGCTGACGATGACGATACTGATGTCAATGACGGTGGCGGTGATGATGGTAACGATGATGATGGTGGTGATGATGGTGAGGTCGGTGAAGCTGGTGCTAATGATGATGATGATGCTGGTGATGTTTGATGACGACGATGATGAGGATGGGGATGAGGACGAGGATGGTGTTGATGAGTATGCTGGTGGTGGTGATGATGAATACATATGCTGCTGATGATGCTGGTGATGGTAAAGAGGAGGAGGAGACGGAGGAGGAGGAGGCGGAGGAGGGTAAGGCGGATGGGGAGTGTCATACCCCGCAGCGCCATCGGGGGGAGGGGAAGGAGGGGGGGGAAGGATGGTGATGAAGAAGAAAAAGTCGATGCTGATGCTGCTGATGATGATGACGGTGATGGTAATGGTGATGGTTATATTGCTGACGATGTTGATGATGGTGACGGTGATGATGAGGTTGTTGATGTTGATGCAGATGGCGTTGATGATTATGAAGATGAGGATGGTGGTGACGAGGATGATGATGCTGGTGTTAGTGATGATGATGGTGATGATCATGATGATGATGATGATGATGAAGCTGATGATGCTGATGATGATGATGATGATGATGACGGTGCTGATGATGCTGATGATGATGATGATGAGGAGGAGGAGGCGGTGGAGGGGAGCGTCATACTTCCCAGCGCTGTCGGGTGCAGGGGAAGCTTGATGATGATGATGCTGTTGATGATAATGATGATGATGACGATGATTATTCTTATGAAGATGACGGCGAACGGCGCTGATGATGATGATGATGATGATGATGATGATGATGATGATGATGATGACGAGGTTGATGATGATGATGATGATGCTGATGATGCTGATGACGTTGATGGTGATGAAGATGATGATCAATATTATTATGATGCTGATGCTGCTGATGATGATGATGACGACGATGGTGGTGCTGATTTTTGCTGATGATGCTGATGATGGTGAGGAGGGGGAGTAGGAGGAAGGGGAGCGTCATGCTCCGCAGCGCCGTCGAGCGGAGGGGAAGGAGGAAGGGGCAGGATGACGTTGGTGATGATGAGGAGGAGGAGGAGGAGGAGGAGGAGGAGGAGGATGCTGATGCTGATGCTGATGCTCAAGCTTCTGCTGATGAGGATGAGGATGAGGAGGAGGAGGAGGAGGAGGAGGATGATGATGATGATGATTCTTATTATTATTATGGGGATGACGGCGATGGTGATGATGCTGATGATGATGATGATGATGATGATGATGATGATGATGATGATGATGATGGTGATGGTGGTGGTGGTGGTGGTGATGCTGCTGCTGGTGATTGTGGTGACCAGGAGGGGTTGTTGGAGGAGGAGGAGGAGGAGGAGGAAGAGGAGGATGACCAGGAAGAACCATGAAGGACATCACGGAGAGGGATGCGCTCACGAGGAGGGAGGACCCCGTGTCCCCCCCCCGCTCCGAGGCGACGCGGCACTGGTCACGGGCAGCGACAGCGCCCGCAGCACGCGGTCGCTGCCCCTGGACGTCGAGGCGCCGCCCCCTGCGGCGTCCCGTGGATCGCGCGCGGGCTCGCCGGCACGGAGGGGGGCCGAGGTCGCCGGAGGCCGATCACACGGCAGGCGGGCGGGGTCCATCGGGGATCGAGGGGTGAAGATCGAGGTTGGACGAAGACCGATCACGGCGGAGGTCAGGGGAGGTCGATGGAGGTCGACCGGGGGCTGAGCGTCTCGTTCGACGCTTCATGCGGGCGCCTTTCGGCGCCCCCGTGGCTGTGGCTGGATCCGCGTCCGCTGCCGGGTCGGAGCAAACCCCTGGAGCGATCCAGGTCTGTCGAGGCTCCTGTCGTTCCTGGACGTGCGGGAGCGCAAGTGGCCCGTGCTTGGGCGGCGCCGCCCGCTTCTGCCAGGAGGCCGCGCATTTCCCAGAGGTCAAGCTGGCACGCTCACCCTCGTCCCAGAGAGGAGGGGAGGCCGATCGTACTTCGTGGTTGAGGATGCCCAGCTGCGAAACTCGACCTCAGTGCAGGGCTCAGCACCGCAGTGCTGCGCCAGAGTCCGGCCTCCTCGCGGGGCAGAGGTCTCCGCCAAGGCAAAGACCCCCTCCGCCGCGTCCCCAGGCGTGCTCGAGCCAAGGCCCCTCGGTCAAGGGAGCGCATCGCCTTCGGACGAGCATCGAGGATCGAGGCCGTTTCAGATGTCTCAGAGCCTCCTTGGGCGCCCGGGCGGCCGCGGCTGGATCGCGTGGGGACGACACGCCCCAGCAGAAGTCCTGGAAAGGCCGATTTTGCGCAGGAGGAGGCGGAGGAGGAGGAGGAGCAGGAGGAGAAGGAAAAAGAGGAAGAGAAGCAAACAGGAGGAGGAGGAAGAAGAGGAGCAGGAGGAAGAAGAGGAGCAGGAGGAAGAGAAGCAGAGGATGGAGGAGGAGGAGGAGGAGAAGTAACAGGAGGAGGAGCAGGAGAAGCAAGAGGGGTGGCCGTGCGTCTGGCTGGCGAGGTGGGCCCCCGCCCGACGCTGGAGCCGCCCTGCTTGGGCAGAGGGCAGAGGCGTTCGCCGCGCGCCTGGCACCCGTCGTCGTCGCCGTCGCCGACCTCGTCTTGGCGACTACACGTCAGAGGAGGCAAAGGTGCCGATGCCGCTACCCTTTCCTCGTTTTCGCCTTTTTCGGCTTCCTGGAAGGCCATCGTCGCCGCCGCTGGATTTGCTTCGAAATCTTGGTCAGAGCGCACCCTGGTAGAGGTCCGGGGAGCAGCCGTATCGGTGCCCTTTTGTTCCCCGTTTGCCATCGGCGCCGTTGGGGCCTGGGGGGCACGGCACTGTCTTCGTTGGGCCTCCTCGGGACGCGGCGGAGAATTCAGTCGAGGTCCCTGGCCGCCCCCCAGGGTGCCCCCCAGGGTGTCGGTTGCAAACCGCACCCTTTGCAAAACACGCCCTTCCGAGTTTCCGATCGTCGCAGTTGTCGTGCGAAGGTCTCCAACGGTATGAGTTTTCAATCCCGGCGTTTTCCCTCGATTTCGGCCTCCAGGATCCGTCATCGGGCCAGGGGCCATCATGCACGGTTCCAGGATGCAAGATGGTCCCCGGGGAGGGGGTCAGGATCTTTGGGTCGCGGATTGAAGCAATCAAGTCGTCGGATGTCTGGGTAGCTTTGACACGCCCATGCTGAAACACATCACGTACCGTGTGCAACACGTCTGGGCTGAGCACTCTGCGTGTCGGCTCAGCAGGCGCTGGCCCACGTTTCGGCGAACATACGTTTTCAATCAACGTGCACATCTCCGTGTCAGCACGTCTCTGGAGATTTTGCAGTCGTAGTTGTAGCCTTTGATTCGCTGTCGCCGAGGTGGATCGGGTTTCGAAGGTCGAGGATTCAGGATGCTTTTGGATCTGCATGGAACTCTGTGGCTTGCCCCGCCGCCACGACTGGGTACATCTCGAAGTTCTGGTCAGAATGCGCTACAGGGGGTCGCTGTCGTCGTCGTCGTCGTCGTCGTCGTTGTCGTCGTCGTCGTCGTCGTCGTCAGCACCGCCGTCGTCGCCGTCGTTGTTGTCATCGCCGTCGTCGCCGTCGTTGTTGTCGCTGCTATCGTTCTCTCCTCTCCTCTTCCTGTTCGACGCTGCGCCCACACATGCGTCCTTGCTCGTCTTTCGATCGTCAGCAGCTGGTGCACCCTATGTCTGATGACTTCTCGTGTGAACGTCGTTATGGGTATCTCAGCCTGCTAACGGCCTCCTGGACAGTACTTCTGGGTCATCATCTCAGCCTGTTATCGGCCTCCAGGGCAGTATTCCTGATTCTCCCTCCCCCCTCCCCCTCCTAGATCCTTGACGCGTCGCGTATCCGCACCAGCCAATACGAAAGTAGTCGCCAGGAGAGTCCCCCGAGTAGCCTTCCCTGGGACTCCTTCCGCTTGGCTACGGCTGCAGCCCCCTGGCGGACACGAGAAAGTTAGCTGACCTCTTCATGGAGCCGACGGGCATGAAGATCCCCGAGTGTGCCAATACCACCATTCCGATCCTCCGGATCCGGGACGACCGCTTCGGCATCAAAGCCGCTCAGACGCGGACCTACTCCGCGCGGTGCGACACCTGCCCCCCGGGGTCCCCGCTCCTGGTCTGAGACCCCGGCTCTCCGCCTCTGGGGTGCTTCATTTGGAAGCCGGCGGAAGGCACAGGCGTTCCCGAGCAACATGGGCTGCCCCCCATCGATGAGCGTGCCCTGGCCTGGCGAATGGAACGCTACTTGGTGCTGCCGGCGCTGCCTGGTCCCGATCTGGAACATAGGCCCGGCCACCCTGGACCACATCCTGGATCGCGACTTCAGGTCGCTGTATCCAGAGGAACCTCTGGCCCTTCCCCCGCTCAGCAGCCAGATTGGTTTCGAGGCACCTGTGGACATCGTGGATTCTCTCCCTTGGCTTGGCGAGGACGCCAAGGCCCAGGACCAATTCACCAAGGTCGGAGCAAGCAATCCCCCTGGACCCAGCGCCACAGGCAGCTCTGGTGCAGCGCCAGAGCCAACGCCCATCACCTCCCTGGCAGGGTCCCCGCCATCTGGCGCGTGTTCTGTGGGCGACGACAGGCCAGACACTCCCATGGCGGCCGACGCAGACAGGTCTCAGGGCACGGTGGACAACGACTCGCGTATGGGCCACCGTGACCCGCCCGACTACGACAACGGCGAAGGCGCGGAAGACGGGCTCCCCCTTCACAAGATGGAGCCCGACTACGAAGAAGATAAACCCGCTCGTCCTCCCACGTGCTCAGAGTCGGCCCAGGAGGATGATGACAATCGCTCAGGCGGCGATGCCCCACAGCGAAGCCCGTCGGTGGACAGCTCTGACACCAGCTGCGAGGATACCGCGACTTCAGTCGCAGAGGATACGCCCTACGCCGACCGCAGAAGGGGTCCAGCCCGAGACCCCGCGAGGCACGAGAGGGCCAGCGACGGTGGCGGCTCGCGGTACCAGCGCTCTCCTGCGCCCACCCCGATGCCCCCTGGACGGAGGCCCTATCACTCTCGCCATACTGGCTCTTCGGAACAGGACGCACTCAACCTGTTGTCCTGCCCTGATGGAGGCGGCCCAATGTACAAAGTCAGGCTGGGCACCGTCGAACTCGAACGTCCCGACGAGACACCAGCCAGACGCATATCCAGGCTTCAGTCGGAGCTGGGAGCATTCTTTTGCGCACTGTGGACAGCGAACACGCAGCGTGCCCTGCCCCCTGGATGGAGGGCGCCCAAGTCCGACCCGAAACTACACATGCCCTCGGATAGCATCAATTTCCTAGAGGCCTGGAAGGACTGCGGATACGACGCCTACGAGATGAGCAGGAGGCTGGGCTATGATATCGACTGGAACAGGATACGAGCCAACTACCTGCGTCACTCCCAGACAGATGACAGGGGCAAAGGCGGCTATCGCCACACGGGCTGGCGCGACCGTGCGACAAGTTCCCGGGGCACCTGGGGCAGTTGGCAGGGCGAGTGGCGCGACGGATGGCGTGAAGATCACTGGCAGACGGGTGGCAAACGCGGCGGAGGTTACCCTGGCGATCGCGATGATTGAGATGAAAAGAGACTCCGCTGGAGAGACTGAACTCCCTCCCTGCCCTCGCCGCGCCCCAGTGCCCGCGCCGCCGCCTGCACTTTACAACGCGCTACCGCGGCCCTCCGCCGCTCTCCCCTTCAACCTGGGGCTGCACCACCGCCCCTCCCCTGAACGGCACTCTCTCTCACCCTTGGACCTTGGGGTGCCGTTCGGTAATGCCATCTGCTCCCTGCGTGACGCCGCGCACCCTGCAGACCAACTTGCCACTGGCATCGCTGCCTTTCTCCACCGGTGGCCGCCGCCCTCTCGCCGCAAGGCCCCCCCCTTTCCTCGCTTCGGTTTCACTGCCTGAATTCCAGCTGGCGCTGCCCAGGCCGCGCCGAGGGCTCCCTAATCGCGGCGCTCTGCGGCCCTCCACCCGACGCGCGCACCTCCTGCCTTTGGATCCAGGTACGCGCTTCGGCAATGCAGTCCACCGCCTCCCCGCAGTGGACTCGCGGCCTCAGTCCCTACTGTAGATGTCTCACCGCCAGGCGTTCCTGGCCTGTCAGTGGGCCGCGGCTCGCCTGTCCACTGGCTTTCTCCCTGGATTTTCGAACCGATTGAACGGCCTTCCGCCGTCACCCTGGACCTTTTAAACAAGCAGCGCGGCCTTCTGCCGCCACCCTGGATCCAAGTGGCTCTGAGGGACGCGTCTTGGGTACATGGCGGTTTCGTCCCTCTGGTGCTAGACGACTCGGTTTGGGTAGCGCTGAGACACCTTAGATGTGCCCCCCTCGGGGTCGGCCGTGTTTCGTGCTCTTCGACGCCCTTCCACTCGTCGGATCTGGGCTGACGCATCTCAGTTGCGGAAGGTACTCTTGTCATCATGCTCCACACCCTGGATGCGCTTTCTTGCGCCGCGACTCGGCTCGCCGTCAGCTTTTTCCGCTGCACTTGTCCCCAGTCAGTCTGCGGTACCCGTCAGGCTCCCTGGATCGGTGCCCTCGGGAACTCTCAATGCTGGACGGCCTTCCGCCGTGACCCTGGATCGGTGGCGTTGAGGGACGTGCCTGGGTATTCGCGGTTTCGCCTTCGCGTTCTCTCCGACTCGTTTTGGACAGCACTGAGACGCTGTGATGTGCACGCGCCGCGCTTCGACCGTGTAGCGTGCACTAAGGCGCCCTTCCACCCGCTGGGTCTGGGCTGAAGCATCTCGGTGTGGAAGCTTCTTGGCAACATGCTCCACACTTTGGATGCCGTTCTGGCGTCGCGGCTCGTTGCCGCCGTCGGGATCCCGCTGGACTTACGTCTCCAGTCGGTCTGTGCTACCCGTCAGGCTTTGGATCTACGTCCTCGGGAACGTTCCTCTCGTTCGCACCTGGACTTTGGGAACGCCTCTCGCGCCATTTTGGCTGCGCTTGGTCTCCTCGGTGCCTACCTCAGGCCCGTTGGACGCACCGCTGCATGCCCGTTCAGGGGCTGTCTCTGGCTCCTGGATTGCATCGGCCCCGCCGCCCTGGACGCTGTCGCGAGCCGCCTGATCCGCGGCCCCGCGCGCGTTAGGTAATTTAGTCGCGGCCGCGGCCCGCCCGCGACCTCCCGCCGCTGGCGCTTCCGCCTGCGGCTGTAAAAAATATCCCCACCAGCCAATGCGAAAGTAGTCGCCAGGAGAGTCTCCCTGTTCAGGGCTGCGTAGCAGCATGCAGTGGAACAAACAGAGTGTAGCCGTTACCTTTGGAACGTGAAGAAGGGGGGATGAAACGCAAACGAAGGAGGCAGGAAACGGTTCAAGAGGAACCAAAGTAGGGTTGAGAGGTTTTTTTTTGGATTTGCTCGCGGGTGATCGCCTGCCAATCACTCCTGCCCGAAGTCGACGACAACGAGCGAAGGGCCCGAAAGGGACCGAAAGGGGGAACGAGGGGCGGACCCAGGAACCCAGACACAGGACGAGCGAAGGGACCCGACCAAAGAAACAAGGGACACGAAACCTCGAGGGCCTCGAGCAGCGCACC